TTATATTTTTTCTCCTAAGATTCTATTGGTTTGTTTCTATATGTGTCTCATCATATGTAATAATTTTTAATTGTTTATTTTTGGATTCCATCTTTTATTTCTCAAACATTTCACACATAGTTTGATATTCTAATTCTGATAATTTTAATATATGGAGAACTTTAATATCTAAATCTACTGATTGTTGTTTCTTCTGCGTCTCATTCATGGTTGATTTACATTATTATTTTTCAATCTTTGTGGAGCTATTATTTGGCTGATCTGAACCATAGAATCCTCAGGGTATAAATCAGGGATGCTTTCCTGAAGAGAGCATTTGCATTTGCTCGCTTCTGGAATCTGGGCTTCATGCAGGGGTCCTGAACTCGCCCAGGTTTCCCACGTGAAAGTGGGTCCAAGGCTTAGTCTCTCAGTCCTAGTGTTACTAGATTGGTGCAAAAGTAGTCACGGTTTTAGCACTGTTGAAATTTGCCCTTTGATATTGGAATACATTCTTAAATAAATGCGGTTATGTTATATATCATTTTAATGCGCATTTCTCACTTTAGTTTTTTCCCAACACAATTACATTTCAGCATTTCTCGCTTTATGTTTTTTTGCTAATGACTTTTTACTTGCTATTTATTTCATATTTGTTTTAGACTATGGAAATGATGTTAGACAAAAAGCAAATTGGAGTGATTTTCTTATTCGAGTTCAAAATGGGTTGTAAAGCAGCGGAGAAAACTTGCAACATCAGCAACGCATTTGGCCAGGAACTGCTAACGAACGTACAGGGCAGTGGTGGTTCAAGAAGTTTTGCAAAGGAGACGAGGGCCTTGAAGATGAGGAGCGCAGTGGCCATCGGAAGTTGACAACGACCAATTGAGAGCAATCATCGAAGCTGATCCTCTTACAGCTGCATGAGAAGTTGCTGAAGAACTCAACCTCATCCCTTCTAGGGTAGTTCTGCACTTGAAGCAAATTGGAAAGGTGAAAAGGCTCGCTAAGTGGGTGCCTCACGAGCTGACCGAAAATCAAAAAAATCGTCATTTTGAAGTATGGTCTTCTCTTAATGTACGCAACATTGTGATGTGCCACAAAAAGTGGATTCTGTACAACAACCGGCTACCACCAGCTCAGTGGTTGGGCTGAGAAGAAGCTCCAAAGCACTTCCCAAAGCCAAACTTGCACCAAAAAAAGGTCCTGGTCACCGTTTGGTGGTCTGCCACCAGTCTGATCCACTGCAGCTTTCTGATTCCCAGCAAAACCGTTGCGTCTGAGAAGTCTCCTCAGCAGATTGTTGAGATGCACCAAAAACTGCAACGCCTGCAGCCGGCATCGGTCAACAGAAAGGGCCCAATTCTTCTCCATAACAATACCCGACTGCACGTCACACAGCCAATGTTTCCAAAGTTGAGCTAATTGGGCTATGAAGTTTTGCCTCATCTGCCATATGCACCTGACCTCTCACCAACCGACCACCACTTCTTCAAGCATCTCGACAACTTTATGCAGGGAAAACAGTTCCACAACTGGCAGGATGCAGAAAATGCTTCCCAAGAGTTCCTCGAATCCCTAAGCACGGATTTTTACGCTACAGGAATAAACAAACTTATTTCTCATTGTCAAAAATGTGTTGATTATAGTGGTTCCTATTTTGATTGATAAAGGTGTGTTTGAGCCTAGTTATAATGATTTAAAATTCCGAAACCATAATTACTTTGGCACCAACCTAAAAATTTTTCCTGGGTGCAACTTTGACCTTGGGTTTGCTTACTGAATACTGCTTACAACTCCTGTTCCATTTTTAATTTATTGTCTTTTGTTTGTTCTTTTTGTTTTCCGTCATTAGAGGATTCTATTTCTTCCTGCATGCTTAATAATGCTTTGAAAAATACACTGTCTTATAGATCTAGTTGTATTGTAATGGGAGGGCCCTTCAGAGTGTCTACTCCCTATATTGTCAAGAGGAGAAGTCCTAAATGGATGCTTTCCAATGTATGAGCTGCATATGGAGCTGATAAA